AATTCCAAAATCCATTTCGCAAGGGTTTATTTAACAGAAAGTTCAATAGAGATAGAGTGTCACCATAAAAGATTTCAGGAACAGTAATCAGAGACATAACTTAAACACAGCAGAGTTCAATGTACAGGCAAGTTCATGATGGCATCATATGATTTAAACTAACAGAAGCTTTTAAGTTTTCTTATTATTGAAACTGTAATTTCATGCCAGTGAGTCTACCAGATTCAAGTTACGCGGAGAAATGAATAGGTGAACTTGACATCATCATGCAAATGGTCAACTTCACATCATCATGCAAATGGTCGACTTCACATCATCATGCAAAGTGTTAATCTACCCTACAAAAAGGTCCAAAAAAAACATGGTAGGAACTGAACTTCATGTATCATTTTGTGTTAGAGCACACAAGAGGACTTGTGAGACCTGCTTCTCTCTCATTTGCCAGAACAAGATTGAACTTCTGGTACCAATCAAAATTCAGAATGACCATGACAGGTTGTAACTGATCTGTTAAGACTGTGCTTGTAAGGGATCTACAGATGTGATTAGAACCCTAGGTTTCCGAAGATACCTGATGGTTTTTTAATCCACATCAAGTAGCTCTAACTTTTAACTATAAACGTAACAAATGTCAGTTCCATTGAACTGTCTTCATAAAAACTCAACAAAGTCTATGCTAAGTTAATTAAAGTGTACTTTGGTATTCTAAATAAGCAGAAGTAAATTTTTCACAAACAACAAATTTTGAGCTCATAGTGTGTGTGCAGTTTCAAGTATTTGAAAAATTTACAGGTGCTTATCATATGAGAAATCATGTTATTAATTATTCATGACGTATACATGAAAGATACACATTTACAGGAAATCAACAAACTGATGGCAGACAAATTTGACAGTATTGACTAAATGAAGAGTGTGCCATCAAAATTTGTCCTTCAGCTGAATTCTTACTCAGGAATGCAATTTTTTAGTGTTTATCAATACACATATATGTATCCAAGCTTTTGTTTATTTTCGTCAGCTACTGCATATATCAATCAGAACCTACTTTGTGTAAATCTGATTGGTTTCTAATGTGATCTATTGTTGCTGAGCCTAGTTTATATTATTTTTTACATAAGTTATTTCTTTTTCACTAATGATAAATGAAAAAGGCACCTAGCAATTTTTAGCCCATCAAAAAGTGTAATTTTATGAAGTATGAAGAGAATCTAGAAGACTGCCAAGCTTGAAGGAAGTCATGAGATGTCAAGGTCTGAATACTTCTGGCCATAACTTGGAAAACATAACACTAATCACATTTCAGTTAAAATTAAAGCACTAGCACAGGGAAATTTCTTTAATTCCCAAACTGGGTTAAAAATGGTAAATTTATGGGTTATATTTATGATTTTGGTGGGAATTCCCCAAAATGGGAAAGTTCTACCAAAACCAACATTGGGCTTCATAAAACCCAAGAATGGGATTATATAGACCCAACAAGACCCCAAGAATGGGATTAGACTGGCCCAACATAGCCCCAGGAATGGGATTATACTGGCCCAATTTGACCCCTAGAATGGGATTGCACTAACCCAATATAACCCCAACAATGGGATTAGAATGACCCAACAAAGCCCCAGGAATGGTTTTGCACTTACTTAATGTGACTCCAAGAATGGGATTATACTAACCCAATATAACCCCAACAATGGGATTAGACTGACCCAACATAACCCCAGGAATGGGATTATACTGACCCAATATGACTCCAAGAATGGGATTAGACTGACCCAATATAACCCCAAGAATGGGGTTATACTGACCCAGTGCGACTTCAAGAATGCGATCAGATTAACCCAATATAACCCTAAGAATGGAGTTATACTGACCCAACATTTTAACCCCAAGAATGTGATTAGACTGACCCAATGTGACCCCAAAGAATGGGATTAAACCGACCTAACATAACCCCAAGGACTAGAATAAAATAGAATATTGCAAACAGTAAGGAGCAATATTTAATAACCAGAGTGATAATTATTACACTTTAGTTTAGTGCAACATGCAGTACAGTCTACAAACTTTAAATTCTTGCCAAAATGAAACAATAAAAAATTTCAAAATGCATTACAGAATCCTGTAAACAAGTTACACAAAGAAACAGAATTAGTACCTAAATAAGGCACTTCATATTGTAATGTTTTTTGCCTTATCTACTTAAATGCAACTCTGAGAAATAGTGGCTTCCAATGTACTTCATTACAAACTGGAGCAAATGACACCTTTTTTTCTTCCTTTCCTCATTTTAGTCAGTAGGGTTGACATTACTTTATTGTAGAGCTGCATGAGGAGCACTGTGTACTGATTTCTATTATAAGATAAAATACTTGGCAGTTTCTTTAGAACTGCTAACCAGCAAGTTAAAAGCAGTTAAGAAGTCCAAGCAGCTACATATTACAACATTTCATGCATGGGTTGGGTGGGTGAGTGAGATCAAATATGAACCAATAGCGGCAACCAGAGGCGCCTTTACAAGCTGACGTTCGATCTCACTCAATAAGAATTGTAAACCGCCTTGAGACAGTATGTGATTTGTGCGGTATATAAATACATTCATTCATTCATGCAAAAGAAGAAAAATGATCAGAGATTTACTACAAAACTTTTTCCAAGTACCAAACAAATACCAAATTCAGAACAACAACCATTGTTTTTTGATAATCAAAAGCAACTTTTAAGCTAAGTTGGAATCAGATTTACGAGATAATGAACGAATTGCTTTAATTCAGCATGAACTTTAACTTTAGCATGTCAATAATGCTTTCCTGTCTTGTCAACAGGAAATAAACAGTTTTTTTTAAACAGCTATTTTTTTATGAACAGTAACATCAGACAGAGAGCTCACATTTTCCTTAAGAGTCACATATTTGTGCTTATCAAGTTTCTTAACTAAAACTGACATCACTTGGCTAGGGGTAAGATTTTTCAAGTTATTTTGTTTGACAGAAAACTTTGATTTCACAATCCCAACAGCTTCATCCCTTGTCAAAACTTCTCCAAAAACTACTTTAATCACAACTTGTGAGGACACTATTGTGAAAGGGACTTTAACTTCTGATGCAGGACTTCCCGCAATACAAAATATACGGGTCCTCGGAGACTCAATGGAGTCACTACTATCATAAGGAGAGAGAGTTGATAATGATTCTCCACTGTCTGAAAAATTTTGTGCAACACTATCCTAAGAACGGTAAATAAATAAAAATAGAGTTATTAGAGTACTCAATCATGTTGGAAACAGTGACTGTCAACCAATGACATTTATGGTTTCAATCACCATGGCAACTGATCTGGCTCAACCACTTTTGAAACTTAACATACTGATACTGAAGTAAGGTGATCAGGGCTATCATTAGAGTCTGCTACCTATATTTTTTTCTTAACCGTTGTTGCAGCTGAGTACACGAGGCCTTGACATTGAACTTATTAAAAAACCACTTTGTCAAAGGGTGCTACAATATGTGTGACTGAAATATTAACTCTTCAACCCATAGGAGTGAAAATGGCCAAAACTTTTCTCCAGAGAATCAAACATCAAAGTTGTGAGGAAAAAAGGGAATGATCGAAAGTTGTAAAAGGTCTTGCTAAACAAATTTTCCTCAGCAGCACCATGGGAAATGTATGGAGAACAGTGTTGAGAATATGCATTCCAGGTTAATAAGGACTAAACATGTGTTGAGAAACACCTACCTGTTCAGGTGGTGTTTCTTCCAAAGTTGCTCTAAATTTTTTACCACAACTTCCTGAAGTTGAAGATGTCTTTCTTTTCACATATTGAGATACTGGCTACAAGAAATAAAATGTTACACCCAATTTGTATTGCCACCTTCTTCAGGCTAGCTGCAACAGAATTCCTACAAAACTTACTAATGCTGCATTCACACCAACTAAACACATTTAGTTTCTCTGAAGGATAATTGCTTTGGAGGTTGATCTAAACAAGGGTCCATGACTTTTACTCAAACCCTTAATCTCAAAATTTAAAGATGTTACAGACCCACTGGAGTACCAACCCACAGTGTTTTGATGCTTTACACAAATGTCCTCAATTTTTTTTAAACCATTAACTAAAAAATCTAAGCTACTATGACTTTTGAAGTCCCTCAAATGAAATTTTAATTTCCAATATTTCCCATAACTAGGTGAACCAGACTTAAGGACTGCTTCAAACACAGAAAAAAAGGGGAAAAAGTAAAAAAAAAATTAGAAAATGAATGAAAAATAGAACCTTTGAACAGCTTTCTGCAGGCTGTGAACTTTCAATGTCAGACTTTGAACTCTCAGACTTTAAACTTTCAGCATCAGAAACTTGGCCATCCTTCCAATCAGAGAGAATAAATCATGATTAGATGCAAATATATACCTCGCAATGACCATGTGCACTGTATAGCAGTATAGGCAACCCAAACACTTCTAAAATAATGTGGTGTTAAATAATTTGGTGTTCATGTATGTATAAATCACTAACTGTTGCAAACAGTAACAAAGGTGCTAATTAAAGAGGACCCATTTAGCAGCAGATGATTGATGTGCAAAGTAGTAATTTCACAGCTGTTCAGAGTATACTGTACTCTGGCCATCCACCTAAAAGAATTGCTCCTGAATGTACTTGTGGAGCAAGTAATATTCTGTAACTGGGCCTGGAAAAATTGAACTAAATCCTATATTACCCTCTTTTCCTTAAAAAAAAATTAATATATATGAAAATATGACCATAACCATACCTGTTGTCCATTACGTTTCCTATAACGACACTGCTCATTGAAATAATTCTGTATATGTTGGCATATCCCCTCACAAGTAAATTCAATTTCTGGAATTGAGCATTCTGGCACAATATCTATGGCAAACTTCTTCAACTGAGCCTTCATTTCTGGAGTGTTAAATTTTGGAAAGTTTCCTACTCCCCAGTGTTGAGTTGCAAGCAAGCCAACTTTTCTATGTCTGCGTGGCAAAGATTTTAAGCTACTGATCACATTAACCATAAAAAAGACTCAAGTTATTGTATTTCACCATCTCATGAACCTCTGTTCCTTCAGTAAAACCCCAGCATATGGGAGTAATATTATTTATAATTGTTATAAGCCACAAAAAACTTTGAAGAGGGCTTTCTGATATATAAATTTACCACCTTGTATTTGACAATATTATTCAATCACACTTATTTCTGTTTCATATCCTAAATCTCTCTTTTTCAGTCTCGGTCTTTAGTTAATCGCAATTTCAAATAAATGCCACCCCATAACCAATACAGAACAGATACATTGTAAGTCCAGTCTGGTCCAATGCAACAAATTACAGGTCGGATTCTTGTATGAATAAATTATAAATAGTTTATTCTAAGGAATATTAAGAATTAGCTATCTTAAAATATCGATAAAAGATCAGCATACTTTGACAGGTACAGACTTTTCATTTCTGGATTAAAACCAGACATTTCACCCATTGTTGGTTTTAGCCGTGGAGTGGAATTGAGCTCATGAACTGCAACTGTATTTGAGAACTCTTTCTTAAATCGCACAGCTGATCCGTATTTCAGTCCAAGGTTTTTAAAGATGTTTGGATCTGCGTCTTTCTTAAGTAGATCCGCAATAGCTGCGAAGTGTGTTATTTCCTCGTTTAGGTATGAAATAAAGAAGGGAAACTTTGCCGCCATATATAACTCATGTCTTAAAAAGGAAAAGCTGGTGGAATGCGGGAATAAGGCAGTGCGAGGAATTTCACACACATTTCAGTGTAGCTTAGAGCTGGGACTTCAAATATCAAAACAAACAAGCTATATCTTAAAGACTATTCTTTGGACATTTTAAATTATCCTCAAAGCACAAAGAGAGTGTCTTACGATAAAATCTATTCTTAAAAAGACAGGTTACTACGCTTGTTTGAGAGGTCGAAGTAAACAAACGTACGTTTGAGGAAAACAAGTCGGAAGTCGCTGGCCATTCAGAAGTAACTTAGGGCTTAATTTTAAACGGGACTGCTGAAACTAGTTAAAGTTTCTTCAAGTTTCTTTTAAAGCTTACCTTGGAACTTCTGGGCGACTTCATCGCTGAAAAGGTCTGTCACGCGGTCGATGATAGTGTCTTTCTCCGCTGACTTCGAAGTCTCTGATTCTGACATCCTCGACAACACCTTGAATTTAATTTGCAGTCTAAAAACAACAGCTCAAAAGCCAACCTAAAATTTCGGACTAATTCAAAAAGCAAGGACGAGAAAGGGATAACCTCCACTGACTTACTTCCCATTTCCTTCGACTTGGTGAACTAATGCGTTTTTAATTGTTTCCCGCCGTTTCGATGCAATTTCATAAAACAGATTCCCCTATTGGTAACCATCAGTAATGCGTCATATAACACAAATATGCTGGCTTTTCTGATTGGTTACTGGATTGACGAGAGAAGAATGGGTCAAGTGCTTAGTAGCCCTGTCTGCTTCTGCCTTGAATATGGTGGGCTTTCGGCGGACTCGTTTAAAGGACTGTTTGTACAAGAAATAAAAATTATGAACGCTTGGTTGAGAGAAGACGTATCCGCTTGTAGTCGTAATGCAAGAACATACAGGCATGTTTACTGCCCTTGTCTTCAGTGTCGTGGGACTGCAACAGACAGAACTACCGAGTTACGGCACTGGCGAGAAAACTGCTTACTTAATACGGAGTGGTCGGAAGACCTTGGAAGTGACAACCCTGCGGGCAGCTTGGCGGATGATATTGATAGTGATCATGGATCACTGTCAAGGTCTAGTTCATCAGCAAGTCCTTCAACTCCGGAAGCGGCTGAGGGTGATGAGATTTTTATCAAAGGATCAGATGAAAACAACGACAATCCCATCAGTCCAGAATTTGAATCCGTTGAACCTGCAGGACTTCAAGGTAAGGAACCTCCCATAAACCCTCTCAAGAAAGTGATTATGACTGCAGTTCTTGACGCTTTGAAACTTATGGATGAAAGTGGCTCATCGATTAAAACCTTTAGTATTTTATAATCATCTTTGATAAGATCAAAGAGCCTTTTTTCGCGCAATTTATAAACCAAAACAGACATGTGACTGTCGTAAATTCATCCTATTAGGACGATTAGCACACCTATTTTAAAAAATGAATAAATAAAACAGGCAAGAGAAGATTAAAGTAGAATTATTTCAAACCTTGTCAGTGTTTTGTTCCTGATATACACTCCAGCTGCTTTTATCAGAAGAGAAGGACAGCTTGTAGCTTTTGACGCATGACCCGTTTTTCTTTCCTTGCGTTGTGATTGCGCAGACAGTGTGAAGCGCTCCCATATCAACTTGTATGTAGTCATCGGTGATTGCAGTAGTTTTCTGACACCAACCTTTTACTCCATTAAGCCGTCCCATGCGTGGATAATAACTTAGATAATAAGAGCTTGCGGTAATTTGGGCGCTAGGTATTATGTGTGGATCGTCTACTCCTACAAAAAATGCGAAGTTTTGACACATCGAATCTCAGATGGAAATGTAACTGAAGTCTATAAATCTTGACCATAAGAGCTCACGACTTTCTCTGCCAGGAGTCATAACAAATGGAATTATTCTCACGATATCAATATCATTTCAAGTCACGGCGACGAGGAGAAAGATAATTATATCAATTACGGAATATCATTTCAAAGTTTTGACGATATATGGTAAAAATCATTCACAACATATTTAAAAGAAGAAATGGATAACTCTTTGGTGACAAACCCCTTTCAGCTGTACAGATTTACAACTATTTTTTGATGCATCCCTTTCAGCAATTAAGACATACCTCTTGTGTGACGTTACTGCAGATATAAAGGACCTATAGCTATTGCACTTCGATCACCCTCACCTTTTAGGACCTACAGCTTTTCCGTGATGTATGCCTCAAACATACGGCATAACACGTTAATAGCTATTATAATACGTAAACTACTTCGAATGCCTCTGCATTACAAGTTAAATAAGAGCGCTGGCGATGAATTTCTTTTTACTTTCAACGAGTTTGTTGGCGCCATTAACAGGTTTTGATTATTTGAAAATCACCAGTGTTAAAATAGTTTCTTTCCTCTTTCTCCTGAATGATAAAATAACCTATTTCGCCGGACTACCCCATAATCTGAATTAAGCCGAAATATTCCTACATTAGCATGCATCTAGAACTTTCAGTGCAAAATGGGACCTTGAATTAACTTCAGCCGTCTGCCCTTTCTATTTTGTAAAAAAATTCTGATACGTTTTCCTTCTCTTTGACGATATCTTAACAGCTTTTCAACGGAATGTTGTTTTCACACTCAAGGATGTTTACGTTATCAATCTTTAGGGATTGGTTTCTATACCCCACCGTGAAGATACAGCCAAAATAAATTTCGTTGCTGAGGAAATATGAAAATCTCAATAAAAGGCGATCTTTTTGTCGCACCAAAATCTCGAAAAACTCAAAAGAGGCCTATAATTTGCGTCAGGTATGAACGAATTCCCTTCTGTTTCCATCCTATTAAGCAGTATCGAAAAAAAACGTGGGCTGAACCTAAGCATTTAAATAAACATAACAAAGTACAATACATGACCTGTTATGAATCATTGATCAGTCAAATTAAAAAAAGCCTATTGATTCTCGCGAATAGTGACGAATTTAACTGACAACTTTGACATGTAAATACATTGCTAGATTGAAAACCCTTGGTCCTTTCCACGGTGCTGGTAGTTTTTGGAAAAACTAAGCCTGCTTTAGAATTTAAACTGATATGAGAGTATCTAGTTAAAGCTTCATTATTTATTCATTTATACCTCCAAAAAGTCTTTCAATAAGGACTTCCCACATGGACTATTAGCATCAAATATTTATGAAATTGCAACTGCTTAAAACTTAACTTAAAACTTAAACTGCACATGAATAGTGACCGGCAAGGTAAAAAAGTCTTGTAGCCAGATATAAATTTGAAGCACTCAAGAGGTATTTGAGTTACGTTTTTATGTGAGAAAATTGAAAACCTTTGAATTATCATCCTCGTCAAAATGGGACCTTAAAAAAGTATCAACACACCATTCTAAAATTTCTTAAGTTGAGTGTAAATTTCTGGTTTTTCTCTCCCCTTGCTATCTTTAGAATTCACGCGCGCTCAATTTCAAGTACGTGCCGATACGATTGTATAAGGTGTTTTTATACCTTTAGTCAAACCAAAACTATTCTCATTAAGAACGAGACGCGTTATGTTCTGTCACCGAAAACCAGCGAACAAGGGATGGCGGTCAGCGGTAGATATTGGCTGGAGCCCCGGGTGACAAAAATGAAATCTAAGAACTTTCTGGTAATTAACTAATTATTATTCTTCACTTTGGACAATTCAAGAAAAAATAGATTTGTATCGTAAAAGTAAGAATGTTTGGAATTCATAATTTTTTTCTTGCAGACAATTCACGAAAAAATAAATTAGGACTATAAATGAAAGTTTGCATGGAATTCTTAATTTCTTTGCAGGTTTATTGTGACATGGTATCAGTGGATCAGGTCTGGACTCTCCTCGCTCGGTTTTCAAACAGTGACTCTAAAAACTGGATGGATGACTCAGGAGACTGGTGGTATGACAGTACTCAAGCTGCAGGAGAAACCGCTGACCCGTCGTATAATGAAAAGATGATCTCGCTGGGGTTCTGGCTGGTCGGTGGCAGTGAGCTTAAGATCACGCGCAATGATGACTCTGGACACACCCCTCTATTGCAAACAAGAGGAAATTGTCTGAGTGGGAAGACATTCCGCTCCAAAGTTACCAGCTATGGTGACTTCAGAAACGGTTCAGTTTAGTCCAATGGTAAGTGCCTGGGAAAATGCAAAGTTCAATATGGCGGACAATACCAAGCCACTGGGGGCTTCGGACAGGCTTCATGCAGCAGTGACCTGCAAGGTGCTGATGAGGTCGGCTTTTGGTGTGACAAGGGCTGGAGTAGTTCTGTGATCATGATCTGAGGAGGCGGAGCTGGTTGTTCAAATGCCGATCACGGAATTAGGACAACGGTGGCGAAACTTGCCTCTTTTAAAATCAAGGAAAATAACAGAGGAGAACCTGACTTTAGCAACGACGCATGGGGTTCGATAACTAAAAGTTACACATTGAATTTGTGGATTCGTTAATGCACGCATCCATTTTAAACTCGTGACGTGTGAAATGCTGCTTAAGATATACGCGAAGAGTGAATTTTTCCAAAATTTATGCATGAAACGTGATCAGAACTACCTTCTGAACATGTAATTTCTGACGTTTGAGAGACATGGGAACGAATTAGTGAGAAATTAATATTCTGACGGCACGTTCGAGAGGTTCGCATGGCATCATGGTAGTTTCGAGTTATTTAATCGTTTCGCGGGGAAATTAGGTCATTCTACGTCGGTCAGTCTTAGGTTGGGCCACTTTCTTTTATTTATTTATTTTTTATTTAATGCAATTTTGCTTTACAACTCTATGTAAAACATCACTCCTTTCATTGAATTTTCTGTGCAATTTAGTAGTGTAACTAGGTTTATTTTAGTTACCCTTTCCTCGGAGTATAGTGCTGCTGCATTAGATGAGGAATACGTTTCCACATAGTTTTTGGCCACTTCTAAAGAGTGGTTTTTTAGTGGTTTTTCGTATCTGGCGTAGCACAGCTTATTTTTGTATAACCCTTTATTTTCAGTGAATACTTGCAGAACATTGCAGATTGTAGTAGGATATGTAGACTACAAGACTGGCTGACTACAAGTAGTACGAACGATGGCATTAAGATCTGAATGGGGTCGAGAATACGATAGTGAAGACACATTCGCTGGGACTGTAAACACAACATAGCTGCGCCGACTCCAGTCTAAGCTCTCCGAACAAGAAATTAATGGAGGATAAAAATCTCCGTAGCACCTAGGCTGCGATTATTATAAACCTCAATACCATTCGGGTCGACCATAGCGCGAAACAAGACATTCAAATGCTCTTGGTAACACCGAGGGGTACACATTTAATCTAGTACTACAACGTTGTGTCTCCCCACGCGAAAAACAAAGAAATGATAAAATTATGAAACAACTCTCTTAGACACGGATGACGCAGATCAAAGATACTGCCAGGGTAAACACTTTTCTAGTAGGATATGTAGACTACAAGACTGGCTGACTTCTCCTAAATAAACTTTCACATTGAATATCTCGTCTGAGTGTAGTCAGAATACATTTTTCTTAGATCCGAATTGCTTTTCATTGTATTGAGACAAATAAGTGTTAATTTTAGTTTGTTTTAATTTTGCTTTGTTTTCTTTTTTTCAGATGCATGAATTCAAACATACAATTATTTCTTTTATCTTGCAAAGTGTACGTAGTTATATAAAGGGCCTCGTTGATTGTTATGCATCTAGTTTTAAAGAGATGCGAAAGTCTACATAGTTATATTAGGGCGTGCTTTGATTTTCATCGTTAATCCTTTTTTAGTTTTAGATATCTAGGTCTTTAGGATCATTTTTTAGAGGTTAACCTTGTGTACTTGTTAGCTTGATGGCCCCAAGTTTTTCAGTTTTTAACTGGCTGTCATCACCCTCTATAAATGACGTTGACACATACATACATCGACAAGAATTGAAACTGCTCAAGCGGGGCGACAAATTCTTTCCATATCTATCGTTGGGACTGTTCTCATCGTTGATTTCAAGACTTTGAAACCCTTTTCCTTTTTTTGAGTATTCTTCTGCAAGTTTGCTCTTCGGGTGGAGAGGATAAAACGAAAAGAAAGGAAAACCAGCTACAGTGCTGTAGATCATTGTATGTTAAGGCATGACGATACACGCCATTTTGAATTATCTTCATTACTCCATTTAATGAGGAAAAAAATTGATCTATGTACTCATCCTCAGATATTCGATCAGCAAAAAGTAGCACGACTTTGGGGACAGAAGCAAACCTAACTGTCGCAGAATCAAACGGGTGAGAGGGTTTTCCTTCCATACCTAAACCTCAAAGTTTGACCAACGTCATACGAAGAGGTAAAAGGTAGCCTACCGGTAATTTTAAAAAAACCAGCATAATTTTGAGCATGATTTGGCAATTCTAATAGCATAATATGCTACTTTTACTGGCAGAACCCATAGGGGCCTACTAATTTTAGCTTGTACCTCCGTTTTTCTATCGTATCTTAGGGTCAGTAACACGTATCTCAGGCTAGTTTTGTCTTACTTCTACGAGTTACTTTTTAATAAGCGTGTGTTTGTATTTCCTATTTCAGTTTTTGCACTCTTATAGGCTTCGCTGCGTTTAGAAGTTTGACAGGTGGCTACGATTTGTTCTTAAAAGATGATGATGCTATTGAGCGTTTCGAAATGAACGGGGAGGGAAAGAAGCTGTCTTGACTTGTTAAAGACTCAACTATTGGCCGTTTTCTTTCCTAAGTTTTCTGACTCCATAACCTTTGGCGATGAACACCATTAAAATCTCATGAAACCTTTGATCGAACTGAACGAAG